TGTGTGTGTGTGTGTGTGTGTGTGTTGTGTAGGTATTTGGCCTTAAAGTCTCCGGATTATCGACTCAACTATGCTCAATGCTGCCGGATTGGTCTCTCAGGCATGTTGTGCTGCTGCCAAACCGGTGCACTCGTCTTGTCTGATCGCGTCTCCTCATGCTGTGCCTAGGGTCTCGACTGCACTTATGCCTTACTCAGAAGATTATGCCAACCTGATCACAGTCTTGCCGACAACCAGCCCTTCATCAGTAACCGTCTCTTTCTGGAGTCGCTTTTTCCGCTAAACAATCGACTCACCGTTGCGGAGCAACAGTAACGATGCCAAGAGGATGGACAGCAAGTCAGGTTCTTTCGTCGGAACAAGAGGTTCATGATGATGACTTGAGCGGGGCGTGTCGTCATGCTAGGATTACAACAGAAACACCTACAGACCTCAACTTTGTGGGCTTCGAGGCTACCGCCTGAAGGGGCTGCAATGTTGAACGCCTCCTTCCATATCTGCTTTCTGCCAGAATTTTTGATGAAAAAGAGAATCCAGAAGCGAAGACAGTCAATAGCCTAAGTACCAAACCCCTGACGACTGCTCCAAATCAACACTTATCCTCATCTAAGATTTAACGTTATTGACTTATTTAGCAACAGAGTCTCTTTCTCAGTGTTCTTATTAGATCTTTCAAACTGCTAGTTATGGAAAATGGTTGAATTAAAAAAGTATACCAAATTTATAATAAATTATACTTAATAACGTCAACTGTATACCTGATAATGTTCTATCCAATCTGATGGATAAGAACGCGTCAAAAGACAGTCTGGCCAGGCCTGTCTAAGGTAGCATCTTTCATAAAGTATTCCGTTAGAGACGTTGCTGAATTAGGCACGTGAAGAGCAAATCTTATGCCATCATTTACGTTATATTTTACGATTTTTGTATTGCCAAATGTCGAAAGTGTTTAAATCAAAGAATTATACCTGATGTATACAGTATAATCTTTAATTCTGTGGCATATACTCTTTGCATGTTTCTGAAATGGGAAAACAAGAAGCAGAAGAGATTGATATACACCTTGACCGTCACTATAGGATAGCTTAAGTCTATAAAGTCGAAATCCGCATTTTTGGTTCTCTTTTTTTAGGCATATTGTAACGCTACTTAAATATTACTTATATGACATGTAGGCTGTTTTATACTCGTGTATACACAGAATATTTTCTCTCTACCCATGCCGTTGCAATCTTCTCCACATTCGGTCAATTATACCATTTTCTTTTTTAAATTTTACGTTTTTGAGACTTCCAAATATCGAAATTAGTTGATTCAAGAATGATATCTGATGTATACTGTATAATCCTTAATTCCGTTGCATATCCTGTTTAAATGTTTCTCCCATCAGGAAAAAGGAAACAGAAGGGGCTGATAGACACTTAGACCATCGCCGTCGAATTGTTTAAGTGGATGGGATCGCAGGCAGCATTTTGGGCTATATTTTCTTTAGGCCTATTGAATACTACTTGAATATTACTGATATTAAATGTAGGCTGTTCTACACTAGTGTGTGCAGAGAGTTTTCTTTATGTCTTCTTATTGCTACGCTCTTCTTCACATTCCGTTTTTCTTACCATCATCTTTTTACTATTTAGAGACTTCCAAATGTCAAATAATTAAAACTGTTCCATACTGTTTTATACTTAATTACGTTGTGTGTTCTCTTTAAATGTTTCTCTTCTCAGAAAAAATGAAGCACAAGGGGTTGCTAGACACTTTGACCAACTCTGTCGATTAATCTATGTAGATGTGATCGAGTGCAGCATTTTAGGTTTTTTTTCTGTAGACATATTAAAATATAACTTGAGTATTACTTTTATTAAATGTAGGCTGTTGTACGCCAATGCAGACAGAGTATTCACTACCTGTTCATGCTGCTGCAATCTTCTTCACATTCAGACTTTCCCATCATTTTCTATATATTTGACGCCTTTGTGACTGCCAAATAGTGAAAGTCGTTCCATCAAAGAAGTATAACTGATGCATAATGAATAATGGTTATTTCAGTACAATCTACTTCCGCCTGTTTTTTATCATTAAAAAAATAAGTTAGTATTTTTATTAGGGGGAACTTCATTTCGAATGAAAGTACATGATGAAGAGATTCGTTTGTCGTTATCACCAGA